CTGAGGACGCTTCTAGAAAAACCCAGAAGACGAGGCCAGCAGAGCAGTGCCTCGGGGCCCTTTGTCCCTGTCCTCTGTGGTAGCCCAAGCCCAACCTGGCCCTGGCCCTGGCCCTCAAATTCATCAAATCCCAGGGAGAGTTTGCACGAGGACCGTGAGCACCTTGGACAGCAAGGCGGCGCCAACCCTCACAGGGCCAGAGGCACCACAGCACTGGGTAGATATTTGTGGCCTTATTATTTGATAAGGAAATGTAGGTAACCTGGGGAGTGGGCACAGAGAGGGGATCTCCCCACAGCCCCCCCCCCCCCACCGGCTCCATCCAGGGCTTTCTGGAGACGGAGAGGAAGCCAGAGGGAGATGAGTGGCCTGGGCTGAACGAACAAGCTCACAGCCGCAGCAGGCTCCACGTTCAAGGTCCACTATCCCAGAAAACAGACCCACGCTGCCGGGAGCCCCGGCGGGTGCGCGCAGCCCTGGCCAGGCAACCACCGCCACAGGCACCCTCTGCGCCCCCCGCCCGGGGCTTTAGGCTGTCTGAGTTTGGGGCAGCCACAGGACCGGCTGAGACCTCTTCTGATCACTTGCCCCGGAGGCCTAGGCTGTGCTGGGGAGCGGGGCTGGGGCAATGCTGTTTGTTTTTCGTTATTGACTAAAATTCTGTAAAATAGCACATGTACAAATGTAAATAACATCCAGGGCCCCGCACTCTCCCGATCCCACCCATATAGGCCTCATGTTCTCCGGCCCGCGCGGCTGGCTCCTGCCCCTGGGCCTTTGCACGGCTGCGGGAGGAGCGGTCGCGCGGAGGTGGGCGCCCGTCCCTGTCCCCGTGTCCCCTATCCCTTTCCTGATACACAACCGGAAACAGCCATCGATGGTTGGTTCGGCCTGCCTCGCTGGGGACCAGGCCCGGCGTCCGCACCGCCGAGGCCTGCAGGACAGAGTCGAGACTCACCGTGTGACGACGGCAGGATGAGGAAGGAGGACAGGGCAGGCAGCGAGCCCATGAGGGCCATGCGCCGCCCGCTGCACCAGCCCGGCTGAGGGGATCAACACCACGCCGCGTGGCCGCGGGGACAGAGCACACAGGGTGACGTCACAGAGAGCGCCGGAGTGCATGGGCTGACGTCACATAGAGCGACGGAGCACGCAGGCAGGGAGCACACACAGCGTCGTGTGCGACGCCGGAGCGCTCACGGCCTCGGGCAGGTCGCCTGCTACTCGTGAAGTTCCAGTTCCCCGTCTATAAGGTAGGGGTGACCTTGCGGACGGCGCGGAGGCCGAAGCTGGACATCCGGGCTAACCGGTCCCCCGGCACGTCCCCGACGGGGGGATGGGGCGACTGACCGAGGACAGAGGCCCGGGGGCAGGCGCCGCTTAGGGGGTTGCGACCCGCACCAGGGTCCCTGGGACCCATGCCCGCCTGTGCTTCCCACCGAACGTCCGGCTAACGCGCAGCCTGGGAGGTGACACTTGACCTGGTGGCTCAAGTGCTGGGTCCCCTCAGCCACAGGGGAGCCCAGGGGGGAGCTCCTAGCTCCTGGCTTTGGCTGCAGCGGGCATCTGGGGAGTGGACCAGCGGATGGAACCTGGCCAATTTTTCGTGTGCGCCTGAGTCCAATCAGAGTCTATTTTGCCAGCCACCCTGTCGTCACACTCGTGGGCTCGTGGACACGCACGCGTAGGCTGTCGTGCAGAACCCGACACCAGCTCAGGCCTCCTCTTGCTCCCTGCCTCGCTCTTGACCCAGGACTTGGCCTCCCCTCAGCCCAGCCCCGCCTGCACCACCGCGAGCAAATTTCCAAGCCTAGGGGCCCTAGCAAAGACCCTGTCGGGGTCGGAGCCCTGCTGTGCACAAGGAAGCCAGCCGCCCACCCCCTCCCCGGGAGGGACCCAGGCCCCGGGCTCGT